ATTAAATGTTCGTCTTGGAACGAAATTATATTATAATGTGCCTATACTCTACCTAGGCCCCCTCTCTACTATTATCGCACCCTAGTTTGACTTACTGATTTAGCCTCATAATCCGAYTAAATTATTGTAGATTTTAGGTATCTTTATAGGTACCTATATAAACCAACATGAACCGCTAAACACTCAATCTCAAATAGTGCTAAAGTTTTTAAAAATGTATTTTTATATAATTTAAATGTCAAGTATTTGGCAATTTTTTTGGGAAAATCTACCCCTAATCAACAAACTGAGAAATATAAAATTATTCATTAAAAAATTTAACTAGCCTCCCGGCAGAAGAGAAAAAGTAACCGTCACTCGAGCCAAAATAAGCCATTCTCGCTTAACTCATGTCCATCTCATCAAAGAAGATTCAACACTAATATGTGATACTTGCAATGTAATATTATCAATTGACCACATTGTCATCACTCTACCAAGCCTTCAGAGAAGAGAACACAGCTGCAATCAGTACATTCTTCCTAAATATAAACTTAAACTATCCATTGTAAACAATAATAATGTAGTAAAATTCATACTAAAATATTATGTATATAATATTTTTTTCTTGTTCAATTTTTGATTAAATTAGGCTAAAATCCTATGTTGTTGAAGCCTATTAAACTTAAAAAAATAAAACAATAATTTTTTGTTTTTGACATACATACATCTATGAATTTATGTTCGAAGTAAGAATTTTCTTTGAATATTATTTGTATAAAAAATAAATTTTTAACGAATAGTTAAAGTAAACAATTTATAATTACTTAAAGTTTTTATGAGCAGAATGGTTACACATTGATACCTATGAAATGTAAAACATGAAACCTAATTAACTCCTTATAAACTTTTAAGTTATGAAATTAAAATTTTACGTTGAAAAATTACATCCAATACGTAATAAATTATAACGATAACAAATATTTATCCAAATATATAGTATTTTTCTCAAAAAATGAAGTGTTGTGAGTACTTTTTAGTATAATCTGTGTTTACTGTTAACAATAATCATCTGTATATATACATACACATACATATAACGGCATTATGTATGTATATAATGTGGTGTATATTATGAAAAGCTTTCACGTGATAAATGCAAACGGATTTGTTAAARTAAACGCTGATGAAGTGAATAGTAGGTAGGAAAATTATTAAGAAAATTAGTTACGTGTAATCGTACCCTAGCTACTTGGTCACTGTAACATAATTTTATAATAATTAAGCATTGCTGACGTGTTATCAATGCTATTGTGTTTTATAAAGTATATATTATTATGATATAATAACTGCAAAAGTAGCTTCCTGCGATACAAGCAATACTGAAACCATTATGTTTGTTGTGTCTATATTATGATGTCTATTATTTAATACTTTAAGATTATCGTCCATTGGTCGACATGAGACAATAAAAACCGTTTTAATTGTAAAATCAACATGTTCTTCAATATTGGATTTCTCATCGCACTCATAGTACTCATATCATAGAATCTGTTTGTTTTTGTTTTTACCATKACACGATTCCGTCGATTACTACGAATTTGTTTTATTTTATTGATAGTAATAGTGGTTGTAAACCATTTATTTTTTAACCGTTTTGATCTTTAAAAAAATGTGGCACCTTCATGTGTAAAACAAGTTTGATACAATATAAACGGAGTAAAGTGTAGACATATACTATCATTTTTTAATATTAAATTTTAAATATTCGAATTAAAAGACAATATTATTTCAGATATATGATWTAATTATAAAACTGAATAATTATGACRATTTTTTCYGTATGCCTCACCATTTTGGACTTTTCCTCTCTCGCACAAATAATAATACTCACTCAAGTCGTAAAACGATTATTCTAGATTTTAAACATATATGTTTATGTTCTATGTACAGATAAGTAAGTATCAGTATCAGATTTGATAAATCTAGTATACCTACACTCTATGTCATATCAACTCTATTTTGTTTAATCTTTAATTTTATTTTGATTAAATCGAAAATAAAATAATAATAATAATAATTTTTATAAATATTTTAATTAATTTACGTATACTTAAAGGTTTCATTGAAAACTTATGAGGGTAAAAATATTTKTTCAAATATTATGTATCTTAGATATAAATATAATTAAGAATGCGTGATTAAATTATAACTTTTTTTCATATTTATTATAAATTGATATATACATGATACAATATTATTAT